TTTGTTTTTGTTTTTTTTTTACTTTTTCTCATATATCCCAGTTGATTCGTCTTGTTATCATCTTTTCTGTAGTTATCATTTCAATTATTATTTTTTCCTGTATTATTTCATTCACACTTTGGCTTAAATTGTTAATTTCACGATGAATGAAAGACTAATAATCTAGCCATTAATTACATATTCATAAATACAACCATTAAAATTCAGATCGACTACAATATCCAAGAAACATCTAGATAAATGAAGATTTAGTATAACTGCAACATGTAACAAGAAATCATACATGAGTATTGACCTCTGTTCAGAAATTAAAACCAGGTCATGGAAGTCTTATCGGCCGGGCTTTGAAGTCTTGCATAATCCAGACTTTATGCTTGTGTTTATCAATGGCATAATGATGGAAATATTAATGAAGATGAGTACGAATAGCAGTGAAAAGAAAATAGTGATAATATATATATACCAATGACTGCTATCATCTTTATTTTGATAATGATGATGCTGATGATGGGAAAGATGATTAATGAACCGCTAAAGTATCAATGTTTATTATTACATTGATCAGTATCATTATCATTATCATCATTATTATCATTACTTTTATTGCTACTAATGTCATTGTTGCTATTGTTATTTGATTGTAATTCACTATCATGATAAGTCTCATTGTTGATATCATTCTAATTGTTATTCTTATAATTTCAATTATTATCATTGTTAATATTATTGCTGTTTTTGTTAACATAATTACGATCAAAATTATTATCAAGATCTTTGCCAGCTTCATTATAATCATTATCATCCATCCCCTAAATTGCTAAACACATTTCCCGCAAAACTTTCCGCATTTCCGCCAAACTTCCTTACCCCTTCCGTCTCTTTAACCCCCCCCCTCCCCTCCCTCCGTTCCCCGCGTCAAAGCACCTCGGAAAAAGCGACCCACTTCTGGATTTACTGTGTGCAAGGGGGAGGAGGGGGAGGGGGGCAGAGTTGCTTGTCAAGGCGTGTGTGTCAGTGTGTCATAAAGGGCAATATATTGGCTTTCTCTATCGCATCCATCCCGCCTTCGTTATCGAAAAGCTTCGCAATAAATTCGGCTACGAAAGTCTCTCACCCCCCTCCCCCCTCTCCCCTCCCTTCCTTCCTCCCCAACTACCACATCTCCTCCACCCCTCCCCCGTGGCAAAATAACACCCCCCCCTTCCCCCTTCCAACCCAACCTCCTCCCCCTCCCTTCCTCCCAACCTCAATATCCTCCCACCCTTCCCCCGTGGCCTCACAACACCCCCTTCCTCCCCAACCTCCTCACTCTCCTACCCCCCTCCCCCGTCCTCACACGTTACACTGGTCGAATCCACCAATCAGAGCCTTGCGATCCGGGAGGCTGTCAGATGAAACGCAGCCACGATAAAAAGAATAATACATAATACATAAAATATAAAGATTTTATAGATTATGTTCAAAATTCTACCGTCTAATGAACAGTTTTGATTATAATCGTTATGCCATGGTCTATTCTTTATCATCATAATTGCAGTTTGATTTGATTTGCTTTGTTCCATCTTTCTTATCACGTTACTCTGTGTGTGTCTCTGTACGGGAAGTTGTGTTGTCTGCTCGCGCGCTGGACAGTTTGCTGGAAATGTTGGGCTGTGTTATTTGTTTCTCGCTTTCTATCTGTCTCCTGTTTATGCTATTTTCATCTCTGCGTCTCCTCTCTCTCGTCCTTTCTCTCTCGCTACATCTCTCCTCTCTCTTCTCCTCTCTCTCTCTCTCTCTGCTCTCTCTCTCTCTCTCTCTCTCTCTTCTCCTCCTCATCCTCTCTCTCTCCTCTCTCGTCTCTCTCTCTCTCTCTCTCTCTCTCTCTCTCTCTCTCTCTCTCTCTCTCTCTCTCTCTCTCTCTCTCTCTCTCTCTCTCTCTTCTTTCTCTCTCTCTTCTTTCTCTCAACCTCTCTCACTCTCTCTCCCTCTTCTCTCTCTTCTCTCTCTTCTCTCTCTCTCCTCTCTCTCTCTCTCTCTCTCCTCTCTCTCTCTCTCTCTCTCTCTCTCTCTCTCTCTCTCTCTCTCTCTCTTCTCTCTCTCTCTCTCTTTCTTCCTCTCTCTTCTCTCAACCTCAACCTCTCTCTTTCTCTATCTATCTATCTCTATCCATCTCTTAACTGCGTTCTCTTGATTTTCGGATTACGTCATATTCACAGTTTATTTCCTTGAAGTTTTCCGATAATTCCCATTCTTCATCTGTTTCAATTGATGATAAGGAAATAGACAAAAATATGGAGAGAAAAGAGACAGATAAGGCTATTCTCATGGATTCGACCCATTCATCTATAAAGCACAAACACCGTATAAAAAATGGTGGAAGTTCGGAATGGACAACTACTTGTGCAAACGTTGTAGAGTGGACGGGTCTCGAGTCAATTGTTATACAAACACAAAGACACACAGCAGTATATCTTGGACGAAATGCACATAGGCCTTACATACACTCACACACACGCACACACACACACACACACACGCACATACACACACACACACACACGCACGCACACGCACACACTCATACATACACATTCACAGACACACATTCACGAAAAATACACTAGACAACTTTCTTATTGATGACATTTCTAATAATAATGATCGAGGTAATGATATAATCAATATTGATAATAATAATAAGAAATATTATTATCAATATTACTATAAAAATGATATATGATAATAATAATAAAAAATAAATAATAATAATAATAATATAAAATAATAACAGTAATAATAATTATATAATAATAATAACACTAATAATAATTAACTATAATAATTATAACAATAAAATCGTTATTGATAATAATAATGACAATATAAATGATGATAATAATAATAATAACAACATTGATAATGATGATAATGATAACACCAATAACATTAATGATGATATTATATTATTAATATAATAATAATAACAAAATAATAGTAATGAAAATGATGAAAAATGATGATGAAATAATAATGATAATAATAACAATAACAATATAGATAATACTATTAATGATGATGAGAAAAATAATGGTAATAATATCAATAATGATAATAAAGATGACGATGATGGTGAGCATGATTATGATAATGATAATGATAATGAAAATAGTATAATATATAATAATATAATATGATATAATGATAATAATGACAATCGTAACAAAAGTAACAATGATGATAATTGCAATGATAATAATGGTGATAGTAATAATGGTAATAATAGCAAAAGGATAAAAACAACAACAACAACAACAACAACAACAACAACAATAATAATAATAATAATAATAATAATAATAATAATGGTAATAATAATGATGGTAATGCTCATAATACTGCTGCTATTGCTACTACTACTAATAGTAATAATAAAGATGATAAAGATGATAATGATGATAACAATAATAGAAGCAATGATGAGAATAATAATCATGATAATGATCATCATCACCATCATCATCATCTTAATGATGATAATATTAATAATGATAATAATATGATGATTATGATAATGATGATGATATTAATAAAAATATTAATCATTATCATCATATAAGATAATGATAATGATAATGATTATAATAATAATAACAATGATTATGACAATGATAATGATAATAAAACCTGAATCGGTAGCAATTATGATAAGATCAACAACAAAAACAGCAGTATGATAATGATGATAATGATGAAAATGATTATGATGATAATTATAACAATGGTAAAGAAAAGTATTAAGATTTTATTATCATTATCTACCGTTAACACTGTCTTTTTTGTCTTTCTGACACAATTATTATCATAATTATTATCATTATGATTATCATCATCTTTACCATTATCATTATCATTATTACTTTTATTATCATCATCATCACATCATTGTTATTATTATTATTATTATTATTATTATTATTATTATTATTATTATTATTATTATATTATTATTATTTATTATTATTATTATTATTATTTATTATTATTATTATTATTATTATTATTATTATTATTATTACTACTACTACTACTATTATCATCATCATCATCATCATCATCATCATCATCATCATCATCATCATCATCATCATCATCATCATCATCATCATCATCATCATCATTATTATTATTATTATTATTCCTATTTTCATTATCATTACTTCATCAAGTGCAAAAGCCTCAGGGAAGTTGCGC